ATCTCAAGATATTCAATTTTTCGTATAAATCCATTTTATAAAAATGAAAAAAATCGAATGAAAGTTTTGTTTATGAAACATCCCACACAATTTTTATTTATTTACAAATCATATTGCGATTCGTATTTTTTCTTTTGAAATGAAAGCTACGTGTTTGCAATTTTTTTTCGATTCGCCAATTTTTGAATGACAAAAATGATAATTTAATTTCTTCCTAATCAATCAATTATTCCACTTAATTTCTTCGTACAACGATAACCATAATTTACGTATTCTATTCGAGAAAAAAACAGAAGCAACAAATCAAGTTATTTCGATTGGAAATATAACCGTAGAGAATATGCAATAGTTTCATGTCCTACGATTACGTCACTTAGGTGAGCCTCAAAGGTTGCGAGATGAAAGTAAAAGTGCATCTTAATTCTAACAGCAAATATACGACACATCAGGAAGTATTTATTGTACTCCAGGGTGGAGCTCTTAATCAATTCCATTTCTACATACTACAAATAATTATGGTAATGATAGCACTATTCCCTTCCGCCCATATTTAACCATGCGACATTAGAGAATTTATGAATAAATTACAAAGAATTTAATTTAAGGCCAAGGTGAACAAGAAATGCCTTGCCTTTATTTAAACAAATCGTTAAACACCCTCGAAGGCCAGTGATCTAATCGCCGGATCAAGAGTTTAATTGCAATTTCATTAATCGTATGTTCACTATGGGATTTCTCAGCTCCATAAATCATTGGATGTAATTACAGTATTTACCACAAATTGATTGATTGATTGATTGACTGGATGACAGTGCGATTAATTTTTGGTGAAAGAGTAGGCGAAGCCATCGGCAGTTCTTGTAAAGTCCAATTTTCCTGGTGGGTAGAATCTTCGAGGAGATGGTGTGGTAATTTCATTGTATTGAGGTCGAGGCGTTGGACTCAGTGGAGAACTGAAGGAATATCTTAAGGAATCAGGTTTCCCTACAGGTGCAGGTCTGTATTGAGGCTCAGGTCTATATTGAGGCTCATGTCTATATTGAGGCTCAGGTCTATATTGAGGCTCAGGTCTATATCGAGGCTCAGGTCTAGATTGAGGCTCAGGTCTGTACTGATGCTCTGATTGGTACTCTGGGAATTGAATCCTTGGGCGGAAAACTGACTCCGGCTGATATGGACGCTCGTATCTTTGTTCGTAGTCTTGGCGAAAGAAGGAAGGAGCGGCTGTTGGTCCTGG